CACCCAATTCTAGTCCAAGCTCAGTTTAAGGTAACACTGCTAGGGTTCCTAATTGGAGAGAGGATTATTGTAAAGGTAAATTTAATATGTTAACTTTCACTTTAGGGTCTCCGTTTAAATTGTGTTGCAAGTGGAGGGGGGAATGACGGAGGGGGAGGACAAAATTTCAAATTCTCCAGCAGACCAAAAATATTCTCTGAAATGTAGACATCGTATCAGTTCACCTTGAACTCAGCAGCTTTTAGGAGAACTGATGTCTACAAATGTCCAAGTACTTCCAATCGATGGTCAAAATCAGGGTGAAGGGCGGTGTCTGCCCAGTGGCCCTTCAGAACAGGTCCTGGAGAGAGAACTCTGATGGGAAACAGGGTTCTGATCGACATTTAGAGGACCTCTCAGTATTCTGAACGGCCTCCCGACTCCGAATGGCCCTTGAGCACAATTTAAAATATGCTTGGTCTTCTCCTTCCAGGTCCGTTGGCTCTCGTGAGTTTACATTCCAGTGACTTAGAGTTGACCTAACTGTACCAGCAGAGCAGGGTTTGAGGGCTGCCCCTTCATATCGAAACGCAGTGCAGAGGAAACCATTCGGAGACAGCTGGGAAATGCATCTTGCTTCTGGATGGTTCTGTACCAGGGGCCTTCGCCAAGGTAGACAGGCTTGTTCATTCAGAACCTCCTAGAGCGGGGCGCCCCCGAGCCACCTGCAGACCATCAGGGGCACCTCTGACCCTTGAGAAAGTTTCCTTGGACACTCCTGCCTGTCCCGACAACCTGCATTTTAGACATTCAAGGAAAACACCTTTTGTCTCGTCGTCTGGGACGGGGGTGCAAAGGATGGAGTATCGGGGAGACAGTTCGAGCTCAGAGCCTGTCCCGAGAAAAGCAAGTGGCAGTTGAACATCAAAGATGCACCTTCCTAACTGCGGCCAATCCCGTCTCTGCTGACCTGGCAGTTCCCACGGCTGGGGGCGTGCAGCCCACCCCCGAGGCTCTCCAAGGCACCATGAGTCTCTGTGGCGGCCAGTGGCCCCTGGGCAGTCCCTCAGCAGGTTTCCGCCCCCACCACGCTCTTCTGTGGGAGCAAAGGGCAGGGACAGGGCCCAGGCCTTGCTCGGAGCCACAGCGGAGGCGGAGCTTCTCGCAGATTCTTGCAGGTGCGTGGCTGAGCAGCTGGTTGTTTCCAGTGGTAACATTTCAATTGGTGAGTTTCCATTTACATCCAACGCAGGTGGGTTCGCCCAGAGAGGTATGTCTGCCGGGCAAGGGTGCTCTTTCCGGGTTCTCTCCTGGTGTCCTCGGAACAGTCTGTCTGGGCCAGCGCCCCGCCACCCCTCGGCCTGGGCTGGGCAGATGTCCAGTACCCCTCTGCCATCCTTCATCCTGGGTGCTCGCTCCCTGATGCCGGGGGCACGCTGTGGTCGTGGTCAGAAGCCGTTGGTCAGTGGATCTCAATATGAACCTGGAAGAGATCATCACATTTCAGCGTCATCCTACAGAGGGGATTCTGGCAGGTTCTCCCCGGCGGGTATTTCTCAGGCAACATGAAGGGCTCTGGCACCAGGGCACAGAATGGAGTTCCCTGTGGGGGCCTTGGTTCTCTGGGAAAGCAGTTTGTTTGAGACCCTCCCCAAACCCTGAGGTGTTCCCTGATCTCTGAAGGACCGTTCCGTCCCCGGGGTCAGCTGCACACAGGGACGGGTGGTCCGTGCTCTTTGCCAGCCCTGGCTGCTGTGCCCTGGCAGCAGTGTGGTGTTTCAGAAGGCTTGTCCCACAAAGAAAGGAGATGAAAGGAGTTGAGGGACAGCAGCTGAAGGGATGGGGGGAATAGATGCCAAGGAGCCTCCTCAAAGAGCCGTCGGCCAGCCTGGGGCTCTGGCAACGAAGACAGACGGTGAGCAGTGCAGAGCAAGCAGACGGCAGCAGAGCCAAGAGGACCTGTCTTCAGGGGGCCGAGGGGAGCCTGTCCTTGGAGGGTCAGGGAGCCGGTCTTCAACTGAGAGGAGCCCGTCCTGAGGGGGGCTGGAAGAGACCTGGCCAGCTAAGGGTAGGTGGAAGAGCTTCCCTGCACCGTGAAAGAAGACTTACGGAGTGCCCCTGATCCTGCCCCCCAGGTGTTGCCTACTCGTTAATAAACCATTTCAGTATGGGCTGTGTGTTCTGTGTGGCCACCACTGTGGATGGCTGAGGCCATCTGGGGAGCAGAGTGCCGTGGGAGGGAGGGCCAGCCAGCGGGCAGCAGAGTGGTCAAAAGGTTGGGGAGAGGAGGTGCGTGTAACCTCCACCTCATAGGACCTGCCTCAGGCTAACCCTGAGTACATAATCTACCTGAAGGTGGATGGGTTCTGAGACCACTGGCACTATTCGCAGTCCATGACTCCCGGCTAGGTCTGACACAGAGAAGCCCACCTGGGCACAGGAAGCAGATGCCCAGCTACCCAAGGAGTCTACTCCAGGAACAGCTGTTCACTAAGGGGGCGTCCCTCTCACTCTCACTGCCATTGAGTTGATGCCAGCTAGGACAGGGTAGAGCTGCCCCTGTGGGTTTCCGAGACTGTTACTCTTTTTTTTTTTTTTAATCGTTTTGTTGGGGGCTCGTACAATTCTTATCAAAATCCATACATACATTTTAAGGGAGGAGAAAGCCTCACCTTTCTCCCCCAGAGCTGGTGGTTTCAAACTGCTGACCTTGTGGTTATCAGTCCAACACATAACCACCATGCATGCCATCAGAGCACCTGTAGGCATCCCTACAAGCACTTAGGATTAAGAAATCCATGGATCTGAGGCTGTGTTTCCCCAAGAACATGCAGGCCAAGTCCATGTGGGCAGTCCACAGGAGTTCAAGGCTGTGCTCTTTGGGAAGCAGGTCACCAGGACTCGCTTCCAAGGAGCCTCTGAATAGCTTTCAACAGCCAATCTTTCAGTAAGCCGTCCAGCACTTAAACACTTGCACCACGCAGGGAGCCCTGTAACACCTCACCAAAAACCAGATCCATTGCCATGAAGTCGCGTCTGAAGGAGAGCGCAGAATTGCCCCGGTGGTGGTCAACCTTTAGAGAGCAGATGGCCTCAGCTTTCTCCAGGGGAACGGATGGTGGGTTCCGGCCTTTCAGTTCGCAGCTGACTGTGTAGCTACTGCTCCTCCCCAGACCACAGAATGGGAGCAAATCCCTAAACAAACTGTCCCGCAAAGAGGCGACAGAGTGAAGCAGCTCAGCACTGAGGGTTCGAGAGGCAGCCTGAGCACCTGCCCTTCAGGTAACACTGGCCTGACCCAGTGAGGCAGCTCTGGACTCTGGTCCTCACGCCTACCTTCACCCTCTTCACAGCCCAGGGAGCTGCCACGGTGGAGCTAAACATAGCCCAGGCTCTCTGCTCCTGAAAGAAGCTGCCAAGGGGAGAGGGAGACAATGGATGAGCACTCACCAGCTTGACCCAGCTCTCACCGACACCCATGCTCCAGGCGAAAGCTACCCCCCTGGGAGTGCCAGGAACAGACCCTGTTCCCTATGCAGCCCCAGTGGAGGGCAGGGACCACACCCTGCTGAAAGACTGGTTTGACTTGTGATCTGTCAGACTGCTCCTTCTCAGTGCGGGTGCCTCCCCCAGGAAACGGGAATGAGGTCGGGTGGGGGTGTCTGCATGAAGTCACAGCCTCTACAAGGCCTCAGGGAACCCCTATGCGTGACTGGAGGATGGGAATGCCAGCACAGGGAGAAAGACAGGGACAAGATGGGGTGATGGCCACCAGTCCTGGTTCTGCTCTGTTTGGGGGGCTGTCATGTGGGTGATGGCAGGAGAAGGAAACAGGATATCCCCTTTGGCTGGGGTGGCTTCGACTCGCTGGTTGCTTGCCACTCAGCTGGTGGGTGGTGGGTGGCAGCAAGAAACAGTTCAGAGACCTGCTGCTCTGGAGCCCAATGCAGCTAACCAATAGGTCGGCAGTTCGAGTCCACCAAGAGTTCCATAGGAAAAAAAATTAGACAATTTCCTTCTGCAAAGATTACAGCCCTGGAATCGTCTGAGGCAGCTCTACTTTGAACTGTAGGGCGGCTCCTCAGCCAGAACTAACTTGATGGCGGTGGGTGGGATGGAGATTCTTCATCCCTTCAAGTCGATCAGGCCACGCCTAACAGTGGCAAAACCCAGAGACTTAAATTTGACTATGTAAAAATCATCTTCAGAATGGAAAACCAATTTACTCTGTCAAGTTTTAAATCAGAAAGAGTTTTAAAAAAATTTATCTTCAGTGTGGCACAAACACACCATCAACAAAGTGAAGCATGACCCCTAAAAGACTTCTGCTTTGTGATGCCACCGAAATTTGTCCATGGCATGGTCACTGGAATACTTTCACAACTCAGCCACTGAAATGCACCCACACTGCAGCCCCCAAGACTCCTGCTTCAAAGCCACCAAAATATGTCCACAGCGTGGCCACTGAAATACATCTACACTGTGACCAACAAAATACATCCACAACGTGGTCACCAAATTACCTCCCTGTTGACACCCCGGCAACTCTCCACTAGCTTCATTCAGTACCCACATTGTGGGATTTCTGGCATGCAGCACTAGAAGAGGCATTACTTTACTACCTTCTCAATGGTTCAGAGGGGGGATCATTTACGTCAGTCAGAGCCAGAGTGGACAACATTCCAGGGCCCACTGACAGCCGGAAGCTGCCTCAAACCCTCCCACTTCCCTCCCTCCCTCCCTCTCAGGGCTCACACCAACCAGCCCCAGGAGCCTCTGCATCAACTGTTCCCTCGGCTCTGCTCCATGGCTAAGGCTACATACCTTCTTCTCAAGCGAGCCCCCAGAGTCTCCCAAGCCCCTATAGCCTAAACTCATCTTGTTTTGAAAGAACAAACAAAGGAATAACACAGACTGTCAGGTAAGAGGTGAACATGTGGAGCTATGATTTGGAAAGGCAATCAGAAAGGAGTCATGGTGGCACAGTGGGTTAAGATGCTAACTGCAAGGTTGGCAGTTCAAACCCACCCGATGTGCCAAAACAGAAAAATGAGGCCAGCTTCCCATAAAGACTGTCTCGGAAACCCAGAAGAGTAGTTCTACTCTGCCTTATGAGGTCGCTAGGAATCGGAATCGACTCAGTGGCGGCAGGTTTGAGTCAGAGAGAAAACTAAGCAAGAACGTAGAGTGTGATATGCTCTGAGCCCAGGGGAAGCCCCCAGGCCCGGGCAACTCTGGGCAGGGCAGCCGAGGGCACAGGTACGACAAAGCTGCTCTCTGGCTTGAGGATGCTCATCAACCTTCACAGGCCCGCTCTTCCTTCCTTTGGCTTCCCCTGCACACAAGAATCCAGGTGACCTGAGCTAAGACACTTGATCCTTTCCCCAGGCCACCTAACTGAGCCTACAGAAATCACTTGTTTAATGAGAGCAGGTTCTGATCTCCGTTTGAGTAGATGCCTTATTTGAAACGAGTCACTGCTTTTTTACTGCTTTGGCATTTTCAGATTTGGGTCACCACGGGAGCCCCAGTGGCACAGTGGTTATTCATTGGGCTGCTAACTACAAGGTCAGCAGTTTGAAACCAGCCACTCCTCAGGAGAAAGAGAGGACTTTCTAATCCCATAAAAAGTTATCATCATGGAACTTCACAGGGGCATTCTACCTTGTTCTATGGGGTCGCTACGAGTCAGAATCACCTTGACAGCAGTGAGTTTAACTTTATTTGCAAGGCAGATACTAATGAATCTAGGAAGTGAAGACTTGCTTGCAAACAGCAATTTTAAAAACATAGCCTTGCTCAATGGAGCTTTGCTCACTAAGGAAGCCTGACGCTTCCTCCTAAGTCCTCGGTGCCCGGACAACCACTCGGAAAAGAGCTCCTTTCATTCCTTACTTGTAAGCCTGACTCTAGCCCCTGCAACCAGGAAGGGGGAAAAAAGGGCAAGGAGCCAGGTTCTCCACCAACTCTGATGCTACTTCCTGTTGTACTTCCCCTTTTGAGTCAAGCCGGGATCATTAAACCTGCCAGGTGAATCAGTAGTTTTCTGCAAATGAACAGTAATTCTGCCACCTGTGAGGGGTTACGGCAGCAGAGGCCAACCCAGTATTTTATGGGGACCTGGGTCACAGTGGCTTCTGTCTCAGTAAAAATCGAGATTCCCCCCCTGCAGCAGGGAAGGGTTCATCGCACTTGCTCAAAACCAAATCCCTCCCCTAGCTCGTAGGAGCCCTTCCCTAAAGTAGGTAGCCCCTGCAGCTCCGCCCCACCCATCCCCAGGCAACGCTCCTCCCATGTGCCCCCAAACTTGACAAAAAGCCTCCTCCCTGCTCCTCAAGGAGTTCCTGAGTGGTGCCAGGTTAACCAAAAGGTTGGAGGCCCCAGACTAACCAGGAGTGTCATGGAAGAAAGGCCTGGCCACCTCCCCAAATCAACCACCACAAACCCTACAGAACACAGTTCTGCTCTATCACGGAGTCGACTTCTGGCAATCAGTTCATTCTCTTCCTTGAGAATCCAGCTCCTGGAATTTGCAGGAGCGGGGCTGTGCCTGCAAACAGCACTGGCCTTCAGGTCCACAAAATCATTCAGTGGGGGCTTCTGGACTTGGGGATCGCTAACCACAGGGTGGGCGGTTCAAAGCCATCAGCTGCTCCTTTCCAGCAAGATGTGGTTATCTGTTCCCATAAAGAATTACAGCTTTGGAAACCCCATACAGGGTTACTGAGCCAGAATCGACTCCAATGGCGGTAAGATTTTTGGCCCACTGACTGACTCATAGATCCCACCTGCCTCCTTCACCATGTATCTCAGCCCCCTTGCCCTCAGTCATTCAGAATCACAGTCTGAGTTTTTCACCAACTGCCCATATTCTCAGGTAGCTCCACTACCGAGCAGGCCGGTCTGTGTTTGAAAAATCTTTCCAGAGAGTATCTCGCTGGCCTACAAACAAGGGGGTAATGTGGAAGCCCCAAGCATCATTTTAGAAACGGACTCCTTCATTCTTTATTGAGTGTAGTACCCTGGGTTGGTGTGCTGCTCTTCAAAGAGAGAGGTAGACATACAAGGAGGAGGATTTTCCTTAACAGCACAAAACACGGTCATTTCCAACTTCAAAGCAGGTTTTCTCTTACAGAACTTGTTAATTTATAAAACGACTGTAGATTATTGACAATAACTATAGACAAGAGGTTCCCACATGGGAGCTAAACCCACTGCCATAGAGCGGGTTTAATTCCCACTCAGCATTGTACAGACAGTGTAGACAGAGAACTGGCCTCATAGGGTTTCTGAGGCTGTCAGTCTCTCCGGGAGCAGACTGCCATGTCTTTTTCCGTTGAGCAGCTAGTGGGTACAATCGCCAACCTTTTGGTTTGCACACGGCACGTAACCAGTGCTAACTAGTTAGGTCAGATCTATCGGCTGGTTTCACATTGCTCGTAAAGCTTTTTTTCTTTTTCTTCTAAATCTCAGTTTGATATCTAAAAACCAAGGTTTCCAATTCTTAGAAATCACTACGGCTGACAAATGCTGGGCCTGGGGCGACTAACTAGAGGCCACATGAATGCCCAAATACCAACTGCCATTCAGTCCACTCCAACTCAGGGGGACCCTGTAAGGCAGCAGAGGGCTATTCCCTGGGGTGTGGGAAGCTGCAAATCACTGCAGAAGCAAACAGACTCATCTTTCTTCCAAGGAGCGGCTGGTAGATTTGAACCATCAACCTTTCAGTTAGCAGCCCAAACCCTAACCCACAGCTCCCTCAGGTGCCCCTGCGCGGGTTTCCTAATTTTGCTTGCAAAGGGGCAACATAAGTCCTATTCCATCACAAGCACCTTTAAGGAAGCGCCCTGTCCCTTCTCCATCAGAGAACTGTGCCTGCACACGTGCACCACCTTGTCCAGGTAAATCACTCATACACACACACACACACTAGGTAAATCACACACCCACACCCACCACCACCCCCAACCTGTGAGGCTGATGCCCCATGTGCACATCCCATATGAGGTTCCGAGTTATTTGTGTGGGGATGGGAAATAAGCAATCCAAAGAGCTCAGCATTTGGCCACGGGTGATACCACTAGAAAAGGAAAGAATTTGCAAACCGATGTCTTTCCCTCCCACTGCGAAACAGCCATCTGTCAGTCAAAACCCATCGCCCTACAGCTGATTCCCATAAAACTGAGGAAAACTGCCCCCGGAGGGTTTCCACGGGAGATGGATCTCCTGGCTTTTCTCCCAACAAAAAGGCCGAGAGGGCCAGCGTTGCAAAATCACACCTCTAAGATGCATCGCCTCACCCAAAACCCTGTAAAAACAGTGATTAGTGGCACACACGCCCGTTTTTTTCCATCTCCAACAGCTGTGCAGGTCCCCGCCTGCCAGCTGCAAGCGCTGTGGGAAAGCTCTGCCCAGTAATGGCCCCCCATCGCCCGCCCAGAGAACTATGTAGGTGGGCGCGATCCCGCCGGTCACGAAAGGAGTAAGTTGTCTTCGTTTGGAGGACGTTTCCTGGGTTGTCCAGTCGCTACCCGAGGCAATGCTCGATGCCCGGCGCACCCGGGCGTCCGGGGCAGCCGCGGGGTGCGGTCCTGGGCGCCTGGAGCATCACGAGCGGGCGGCGGGGGCCGGGCGTCACCCACCTGCAGGCGGACGTTGAGCATCATGGACGCCACGATGTACAGGTAGGGGAAGTTGATGCGCAGCCGCCAAGCCAGGTCGAAGAAGATGAGCAGCGTGCGGGTCAGCCCCTTGCAGAAGACCCCATAGGAGCGGGCGGCGGCCGAGCGCGACAGCCGGACAGCCAGGCCCGACAGAG